GGGGGGGGGAACAGTACAAATCAGATGGGGGAAGGAAGGGACCAAAAGACAGATTTGCTGCCCGGGGAGCTTGGGAGTCTTTGTAAAACCGCAAAACCCAAGCTGTAGTGTTTATTTCTAGCCATAGGCCATAAACATCTCCAGCCAGTTCCCAGATGGTGGGATGCCCTATTACCCTTCAATTCAAGCCTTGGATAATCTGAACAGTGCTCAGATGAAGCCCACGCTACCCTACCTCCGCCTCTCCAGGTCCCTGGAGTTTCAATGTAATGATATTTGTTAATGTGTTAAAACAATTTGAAAAGGCTGCTTTTGAGGTTGCATGGAAAATGAATACTCAATCAGTATGAATGTTCCTTTGCTCTCCCTCAGCTCAGTGGGGTGGCTCACCCAGCTTTCATATTAAACCTTTGGCAGACTCTGGGTTGTTTGGAGACCCAGCTTTCTAAACTGAAGTTTAGCAGAGTGGGAAGGCTTGCCCCTGGGCACTCAGCAAGCAGGCTTATTACTATTCCATGGTTCTGTTCTAAAGGACTTGCGTTTCCATCTTGTTCCCTTCTTCTCCACAGGGAAACTCCTTCTTTGTGATGACAAATTTTCTCAAGACAGAAGGCCAAGTTCAGGGGGTTTGTCCTGAGGTAAGGAGGGGACCAGTAGCAGTTGGGTGGGTGATGGGGATTCCTGGAGGTGGCAAGGAGTAGAGGAGGTGGAAATTGGGGCTCAAGGTATATTGGAGGACACAACTCTTTCCTTTGCCTCTTTTGTGGGGTTGCACTGGGCTGGGTGGAAGGAAAGGACATAGCAGTGCTCGCCTAGAGCCTTTGGCTGCGTTGTGCAGTCTGTAATAGCAGGCATCTTAGCGTTTGCACAGGAGTTTACATTTCCTTTGAGCTTTACAATGTTAGCAGGAAAACATCATTTCCAGCTCCATTTTATAAGTCAGCGATTTCTCCAAGGGCACACAGCTTGCTGAAGAGAGGCAGAGCCAAGGCTAGAAGACTGGTGTCCACATTCACAGCATTTCCTACCATGATGCATTGTGAACTGTTTGCAGGGCCAGTCCTGGGAAGCTCTACAAAACAGCTCAAGTTTGCCTTTCATCTCTTAAGAGTTCTGGCCTCTAGAACAGTTGCACATCCTCTGTGGCTTCGCATCTCATCCCCTATCCAGCACCTCTGACGGGCTCTGCCCTCTTTATACTTTTGCCCTGTCCCTACCTCTTTTTGGAACATTTGTCCCCATCCTTTGATGTTTTATCCCTTTGCAGTCCTGCTCTCTGCTTTTTAAGATGATGGCTAGCTACTGAAAGTAGACATCAGAAGTTGATTTGTGTGCCCCCAAAGGATCATTTCCCCTCCCAACCTGTGACTGTGACCTTTTGTGGGAATATTATCTCTGCAGATGTAATAGTTACCATGAGGTCACATTGGAGTTACTGTGGCTTAGACTCAGAGCCATGTATGTGTAACAGAATGAAACTTTGCCCAGTCCCGCACCATCTTCATGTTCACTGGTATGTTTGAGTCCCATGAGAGTAGTGCCTGCCTTCTAACCCAGGGGGTTCATTTTCCAGCTCTACATTAGGTAACATTCCCTTGTGATCTATAGGGGTTTTCATTGGCTACTTTTCACAAGTAGATTGCCAGGTCTTTCTTCCAAGTCTATCTTAGTCTAGTGGCTCCACTGAGACCCATTCAGCACTAGAGCATTGCACAAGCCTCTACTGACAGATGGGTGGTAGAATTCGACCACTGAACAACCTTTGCCCCAACGTTGAGTGAATACTATGTGCCAAACCTTTTCTTTTCATAGCTCACAAGCACATTTTACAGAGGGGCAAACAAGCTCAGAGAGGGGAAGTGACAGCCAGGACTACTCAGTCACCAAACCCAGCTGGGACCCATTCTACATGTCTGTCTGTAAAAGCCACAAATAACATGGAAGATAAGAAACTCGGACTAGTTTTATGCCTGTGATCTTCTGGTTTTAAGACTGGCCATTCAGAAGCTCCCTAGAAAGCAGCAAGTCAAATATACACAAATCAAGTCCTCACTTTCTCCTTCCCTGTTTTGCCCTTTGGCCTGGGGCCCATTGGCCTCATTTTCTAAAGCCAGAAGCAGGGACTGATCGGCCTACCTCATTTCCAATTTCCTGCTGGGCCCCAGCACCAGTCAGCTCCAGTCTACAGTAAATTCGGAGTTGTACAACCATCATTACTATCGAATTCCAGAACATGTTCATCACTACAAAAAGACACACAGCATCCATTAGGGTCACTTCCCATTCCTCCTCCCCTAACCCCAGGCAAAGAATAATCTACTTTCTGTCTCTATGGATTTGCCAAATGGACTCATACAATAAGTGGCCTTTGGTAACTGGCATCTTTCACTTAGCATAAGGTGAATTATGGTGTTAGAGAAGACTATTGAAAGTACTATGGACTGCCAGAAGAACCAACAAGTCTGTGTTGGAAGAAGAACAGCTAGAATGTGCCTTAGAAACCAGATGGCAAGAGTTCTTCTCTCACACTTTGAACATGTTACTAGGAGGGTCCAGTCCCTGGAGGAGGACATCATGGTTGGTAAAGTGTACGACCAGTGAAAAAGGGGAAGACCCCCAATGAGATGAATTGATAGAGTAGCAGCAACAATGGGCTCAAGCGTAACAACAACTGTGAGGGTGGCGCACGACCAGGCAGTATTTTGTTCTGTTGTACACAGGGTCGCTATGAGTCAGAACTGACTCCACGGCACCTACCTAACAACCTTTTCTTGTAGCATGTATCAGGATTTTATTTCTCTTTATGGCTGAGTAGTAATATTCCGCTGTGTGAGCAGACTACATTTGGTTCCTGATTCATCTGCTGATGAACACTGGGTTGTTTCTACTTGCTAGTTGTCGTGAGAAGTGCTACTGTGACTATTGTGGTTCGGTTCCTGTGTGGACACAGCCATCTGCTTACAAATGTCTTAGTGCTGCCTTTGCTTACCCCCAACTCTCCCGTCTTTCCCGCAGTACCCCACCTCCAGAACACTCTGTGCCAATGACCGGGGTTGTAAAAAAGGATGGATGGACCCACAGAGCAAAGGTAGGTCTCTCTCCTTTCCTGGGCTCTTGGGTGGGATGGACTGGCATCCTGGTGATACTCCTGGTGCCCACTTCAGATCTTTCACTTCAGTTTGGCTCCCAGTACCACCAAGCCACAGGCAAGTAGGAGTCTGCATGTGCCACCGTTCTGTCCCATGGGACCACCTGCTAACTGTGAACCTGACTCCAAATTCCCAGTGAGGGGGACTTCTGATAGTCTAGCAGAGTTAGGAGGCTCAGGCTTTTAACCAGTAGAAACACCAGATGGCCCACTGCATCATCTGATGACTCTAAACTATTCTCCCAAGTTGTCCCTAAAAGGTTCAGGAGCAAGAATTTGTGCCCCCAGTACCCCTAGGGGTAATTCCCAAGTAGCCTGCAGAATTCCCATATTGTATCTTCTCTGTTAATTTACAAGAATATGTTAAGATTGCCTTCTATATCATAACACATGTATGCTTGAGTTGATGTGGACATGTGACGGAAAGTCAAAAGTAGTGCTACAAAATAGAACTCTTTTATTAAACAGAAATATCAAAATGTGGAGCTCTTATTTCTTGACATATCCTCCATGTAGATCTACATGAGGGGACATTAAAAGTTTGTGAAGGAATATAATTAAAAGATAATAGAAGCTCTCTTGTACACTTCTGAAGGTGATGTTTCCATCTCTCTAACGTTTCCTGGAAGAATTCTGCACTCTTCCATTTAGACCTTGATACAATGTCAGTTTTGACATCCTTGAAGGACTTAAATCCCTTTCAGTGTTCTTCAAGTTTAATCAATAAGTCCGAAGGGGCAAGATCAGGATTGTAGGACAGATAAGGTAAGGTTTCCCAACCAAATTGTCGTAAAACAGTACTTGCTACTCTCGAATAATGAGTAGGTGCACTGTTGTGATAGGAAAAAAATTCTTCAGTTCAACTTTCCTGGCCTTTTTCTCACCAATACAGTTTTCAAGTTCCATGAAACTTCTTCAGAAAAAGCCTTGATAATCATCCTGTGTCCTTCAAGAAACTCTATCAAGATTACCTGCTTTGGAATCCAAAAAAACAAAAAAAAAAACACAAACCACCCCAGTCATCATAGCCTTCCGAGCTCTTGGCCTTGAATTGAACTGGCCAAGAGGATCTCCTGGGAATCCACTGCTTTGTTTGGCCTTTTTCTGAAGGAACCCTAATGAGATTAAGATAAGTGTATTACCAAGAGAACTTGTCTGCAGCCATCAACTAACAGCAGAGACATATTAAAACACATTTTGTCTGAAATACCCATGCATGTATGAAATAGCAATACTTTTTGACTTATCCTCATAATTTTAGCATTTTTTACTATTTAATTAACTTTGTCCCCTCGAAATCTGCTACTTCCACTGAGGCTCCAAAAAGATGTACTATGTTTATTTGGTGGCTTGCACATCCCTGGAACCTGCTGTGGGTCCTAGGGGTACTCAGATGGCTATTCAGGGAGCCAAGCTGTACTGATGCCTCTTAGTTCTCCAGCACTGCTGTACCAGAAACACCGTCAGTGGATGTCTTTATCCAACAGCAATTGATTCTCTCACATTTCAGGAGGCTAGAGCTCTGAACCCAGTGCACCAGCTCTGGAAGAGTCCTTGTCTCCCCTCAGCATCTGTAGGCCCAGCATTCCTTGGAGATGTCCATGTGTCTCCATCAATCTTTCCCTGGATCTCAGAGACTCCCAGTGCACAGACCACAGGTTCAAAGGACGCCCTCCACTCCCAGCTCTCCTTTCTTGGTGGTCGTAGATCCCCCTTCTCTGTTCACTCCTCTCTCCTGTTAGCTCTTATAAGATAAAAGGTGCTGCATGCCACACCCCTGGGAATCTCCCTTACATTGAAACAGGGTTGTGCTAGGATTAATCCTCATGACTTACTACATCAGACCATATCATGGGGATCATCACATGACTTTCAAATCACTGAGAATTATGGCCCGGCCAAGCTGAAATGTATTTTGGGGTACATGCTCAATCCATGACATATACCAAACGAGGTAAAACACTAACTCAGCTCTCCATTCAGACACCTTTTCTTATTAAAAAGCAAACAAACAAAAAGAATCCACGATCTGTTTGTAATCTCCCTAATTTTTTGAAAAAAAAAAAAACTTACTGCTGCAATATATATATATATCTAGCATGAAAGTTGCCATTTTAACTGTATTTTTGAGAACCCCCAAACGTACTGCCACTGAGTCGATTCCAGCTTAGTCTTCATCTAGCACACTGTGTCCATCCATTCATTTACTGATGGAGGTTTAGGTTATTTTTACCTTTTGGTGACTGTGAATACTGCTATAGTGAACACTGGTACACAAATATCTGAGTCCTTGCTTTCAATTCTTTTGGGTCTCTTTGTGCCTTTTTTGAAAATCTTACTATTGTTTGCCTGTTTGATTTACCTTGTGTATGTTTATGGTAGGATGGGGTTTCCTAGGAAGAGTCTTGCTTAGGTTGAGCTACTGACTTGCTTTCTGGGGGATTTTCCCGCCATGGTTCTTTCACAGCTGTGATTCTACCACCCCTTGATTCTCGCAGGGGTCCAGACTGGAAAGTGTGTTCATTATAAAGGGAACCAGAAGACCTGTGAAGTCTTGGCCTGGTGCCCCACTGAGGCAGTGGAAGAAGCCCCCCGGTAAGTGGCAGATATGGTGGCCCTCAGAAGAAGTGCTTGCCAGGATCTGCAAAGTCCTAGGTCTTCCTGACTTGGTGACTCCCAAGCCAGGCACACTTCTTGGCACAAAGCCAGTGGTCTCTGGTGGGGTTGTGAAAGTATTGAAATGATTCTGTATTAGCTAGTACACAATTAGAACCCTGCGCTCCCCTGAGCAGCGCTGCTCAAAAACCACAAGGGCTGAAGCATTTCATCAGAAAGTAGTTAGAGGGACTTAGACTCAAATCCTGGTTCAGACACATTCTTACTGTGTGGCTTTAGGCAAGTGACTTAAGCTCTCTGAACTTCAGTTTCCTCATTAGTAAAATGGTAATAATGATTATCCCTACCTCACTGAGCTACTATGAAAATTAAGTAATAGGAGGCTTCTACAGTGCTCATAAAGTGAATCCAGTGCCTGGCGTATAGTAGGCGCTTGATAATATACACACACAGAAAGACAGACCCCAACACTCAACTCACACAGATGCTCTCCCCCTAGAAGTGTGATGGTTCAATAGAACTTTCTGCACTGCTGGAAACATTCTGTATCTGTGTGCTGTCCAATGTGGTTGCCTCATACCACATGTGGTCATTGAGCACTTGAAATGTGGCCACTGCAACTGAGAAACTGAATTCTAGTTTAACTTAACTATGCCTAGTGGCTACCATGCAGGACAGCACACCGTTCTAGACAAATGGGACTTAGAGCCACTCCATCAGTATCCTTGGGTAAAGAGAAGACTGCCCCAAACTGGCTTTCTAGAAGGCTCAGAAAAGAGTCCTCAGGGTACAGTGGGTACAGCAGGCAGTGTCACTGACTCTCAACTGTTGACGACTTCACCCAGCTGAGGGAAAGAATGATCACAGGAGAAGGTGTTCAGGCCCTGGACAGCCCAGTGTTGGGCAGGACATCAGCTACCATCGCAATTGTCCCTGGTTCAAGGCAATTTCTTTAATTGGCTGTGGCTTTCAAGTCTGGCTCGGCCACCACCTGTACCTCTAATGTGCTGGCCTCTAGGTTACACTTTTCACAGGATCTTAGGCAAGCAGCTCCCTGAATTTCACTTTCCACGCATGTCATATGGGGGGACTCAAAGATGATGCATTTAATCATCCATTCAACACACCCATTATCACCTTGTAGGGGCTGGATACAAGGTGCAAAGAAGGTGAGTTAAGCGTTGGATGGCTAACTAAAAAGTCAGTGGTCCAAACCACCAGCTGCTCCAGAAAGATATGGAAGTCTGTTTCTGTTAAAGATGACAGCTTTGGATACTCAATGGAGCAGTTCCATTCTGTCCTAGGAGTCCTGGTGTGGAGCTGTGGGATAATGCACTGGACCACAAGGTTGGGTTCAACTGCAAGGCTGGCGGTTCCAATTTACCAGCCACTCCATGGAAACTCTATATAGGGCTGTTATAAATCAGAATCGACTCTATGGCACAGACAAGGGCACAGAGTCTAGCACATAGCAGGTATTTGTCATAAATACTTTTTTGTTGTTTTTCTACTTCCTGATGCAAGTGACAGAAATTCAACTTAAATTTTCCTTAGGAAAAAATGGGCTATTTTGACTCCTGTCACTGAGGAGACCAGAGGCACTAGCTTCAGACAAGGTTTGATCCAGGCATTAAATTGTGCTTTCAAGGTTCATGTTCTCTATCTCTTTCTTTGTAACTCTCAACTACCTATCTTGTTTCTGACTCTGCTCGTACCATGTTTTTGTTGTGGTTGTTGCTATGTGCAATAGAGTTGGTTCTGACTCGTAACCACCCTGTATAGGGTTTCTGGAGCTGTAGATCTTTACAGGAGGAGAAAGCCTCATCTTTCTCACGTAGAGCAGTTGGTGGGGTTGAATTGTCGACCTTGTGGGAGCAGTCTGGTGCTTATCCTACAGAACCACTACCACTCCTGGGAACTTCAGGTTTACATGGTCTTTACTATTGTCAATCCCAGCAGGAAATGAAAGTGTCTTTTTCCCAATAGTTCCTACAAGAGCCCAGGAATAGTCTCATAGGCCTGAGTCATGTGATCACCTACACGCCAATCACTATGGCCAAGGCCTGGGTCACTTGCCTCCCCAGGAGCTGGAGGGTGGGCCAGAGATGGAGTCACTCCCACTCAGCTCTCCAAACTGAATGGAATAGAGAGGACCTTCCTAAAGGCAGAATATCGAGATGCTACTATTAGAATGGGAAATTTGAGGTACTACTCCCAGAATAGTGGTTATGAATTGGGCTGCTACTCTCATGGACAGCAGTTTGAAACTACCAGCTGTTCTGTGGGAGAAAGATGAAGCTTTCTGTTCCCATAAAGATTTACAGCCTTGGGAACCTTGTACAGGGTCACTATGAGTCGGAACCGACTCCACGGCACATAATCACCACCACTCCCAGAATGGGGAATAGATACTTGTTGTTCCAAATAACATCAAAGCACTATTCTAAAAGTTCTGAAATAAAAGGCAGACCATTCTTGGCTCCCCTTTCCAAATGTTCTCCATCCTTTCTCGATGCTGCTCTTAATATATATCTGCCACCTACCCACTTGATGGCACTTAACAACAACACAACAACTGAGTCCTGGTGTGGTGCTAAAGGGTAAGCAGTGGACTGCTAACTGGGTGTTCCAACCCATCAGTTGCTCCTCAGAAACCCTAGACAGGGTCACCCAGTTGGAACCGACTTGCCAGCATTTAATAACTCATGGGGAATTTTTTACACTACTCAAAACCTCCATAAAAGGATGGATGTAATCAACTACATAAGAATCCCTGAGGGTACAAGAGTTAAGTACTCAGCTGCTAATCAAAAGGTTGGTGGTTCGAACCCACAAAGCATTCTGTGGGAGAAAAGACTTGGCGATTTGCTCTTGAAAAGATCACAGCCTTGGAAACAGTACAGGACAGTTGTGCTGTGTCCCTACAGGGTTACTGTGAGTCAGTATTGACTCACAGAACACAACAACAACAACACAGTGATTTCGTCAAATTGTGTGTAGTCATAGGCCTTCACTGACAGCTGTGGATGACAAGGTAAGAAATTTCTGTGCTGGTCCTACAGGAGTCAAAAGCCTTTTGGGAAAGATACAACAGGATGTGCTGGAGCTGGCTGCTCTGGTTCTGAGCCAACCATGACACCCTTCCAACTCTGAGTTCAGTGATGTCCAGTGGGAATATTTACATTATAATATTTAGCAAATGCTATAAAATCAGGGTTTTATTATTTTTCCCCAGCACATCACCGTACACACATAAACGTATCATCATGTCAGAGTGTGGGAAGCACTGTCTTCAGGGCTGAGGAGTCTCCAAGGATAGACAGTCTTCCTGGGCAAGCTGGAGAGGCTTTATGGTGAAATGTGCAGGGTTTTGCCCACTAGATTGTTGTATCTATTTCTCTTCTGTCATCCCAAGAACCAAAGTGAGAAACCAGAAGCCTCTGGCCCCACTGACTTATGGACTCCCTTGGTTGCTGTAGTCTCTATTTCCCATCTTGTATTCCTCTCTCTCAGGCCTGCCCTCTTGAACGGTGCGGAGAACTTCACTGTGCTCATCAAGAACAATATTGACTTCCCTGGCCACAATTACACCACGTAAGTGTCCAGAACATCTGGTTGTATTAGCCATACACTGCTGTATAGCAAACGTACCCCAAACTTAGCAGCTTAAAACAAGCAGCATTTATCCTCTCACAATGTCTGTGGGTCGGAAATCTGGGAATGCCATTGCTGGGTGGTTTCCGCTCAGGGTTTCTCAGGTGGCAGTCAAGGCTGCCATCATTTTCAGGCTTGACTGGGCCTGGAGGATCATCTTCCAAGCTTACTCATGTGGCTGTTGGCGGGAAGGCTCAGTTCTTCACCAGGGGGACCTCCTCCTAGGGTCACTTGAGCATCCTTACAACATGATGACTGGTTTCCCCCAGAGCAAGTGAGCCAGTGGAAATAAACCACAAGCATGCAAGAGAACATCCAGGACAACCCAAGCCTTCTTCTTCCTATTATTATTATTTTTTTTAATATTTTATTTTGTTTTGGGTCAAGTTTTATACAGTGAATTAGAATCCCTTTTTAGCAATTTCTATACTTACTATTCAGAAACATTGGTTACATTTGTACTATGAGTCAGCATTCTCATTATTTCCATTTTGGTTGCTCTGTTTCCATTAATCTAGTTTCCCTTCTCCCCTTGACTTTCTCATTGTTGCTGTAGGGGTAACTGCTTACCATGTGGTCTCACACAGATGACTTTTTAAAGAAGCACAACAGTCATGGGTATTAGTGTTTACTTCATGAGCCAGTCTGTTATTTAGCTGAAGGTAACCTCCAGGCATGGTTTCAGTTCAAAGTTTAAAGACTCTTTAAGGGCAATAATCTGAGGGATTCCTCTAACTCAACCAGTCCAGTAAATCCAGCCTTTTCAAAGAGGAACCATTCTTTTATAATCTAATCTCAGAAGTGGCACACCATGACTTCTGCCATGTGCTGTTGATCACACAAACCAACCTTGAAATCATGCAGGAGGAGACTGGACAAGGGTGTGAATCCCACTTTGTAACAGAGATATTTACTTGTTTGCTTTTAATTATGCACAGGAGAAACATCTTGCCAGGTTTCAACATCAGTTGCACATTTCACAAGACTAAGAATCCACAGTGTCCCATTTTCCGACTAGGAGATATCTTCCAAGAAACAGGAGATAACTTTTCAGATGTGGCAATTAAGGTTGGTGGGGCCATTGGATGGTGAGGGTTTGGGTGAGGAATTGTAAAAATGTGGTGGTGGTGGTATCTGACCTCCTATAATTTAACAAGTGGGAAAGAAAAGCTTTGTTACGTCAACAGCCCAATGTTAATTTCTTTGAGGCAGAGATCAGATACACCTCCACCTTCCAACCCCCTTTTTACCAATTCTGACACTAACCCCCAACTGTTCCCCTACAGCACTCTCTACTTCTCTGCTAGTTTTGGTAATTTGTTACAATAGCCACACAGAACTCATAAAGCATACTCAGGATTACAGGATTGACAAGGGAAGTGTCAGGTTAGAATTCCAGTTCAGGAATGCTCAGGATACAGTTCTTCCATCAGGACAGCCTCTTCTCAGCTGTGCCTGTAAACAAGTCTCTGTCCTGCGTTTTTGCCCTGCTCAGGTAATTAGTACATAGTTCTTTTAGCTTTGCCTATACCAGGACCCCTGATGTGGCATTGTAAGATCAGCACTGAACTGCAAACCACATGGTTGGCAGTTCAAATTCACCAGCTGGTTGCTCCTTGAAACCCTATGAAAGGCACTTAATAATACCTTAAGTGGCTGGAGTCCTTGTGTAGCACTGGACTGCTAACCACAAGGTTGGTGGCTCAAACCCACCAGTTGCTCCTTGGAAACCCTATACAGGGTTGCTATGAGTCAGAACTGACTCAATAGCACTTATCAACAATAACAGCGTAAGTGGATAGAGTAACCCCACTCGATCAGTAAGTCTCCACACACAGGTACTCATCTCTAGCTCCCTATTTGCACAGTCCCACTCTCACAGGTTACATGGACCTTGAGTACAATATGATCTTGAGTATGTCCCACCTGGATGTACAGTACCATCTCTACATTGACATTGATGACCAAAGACCGTAAGAGTTGTGGGATGACATCATACTGGAAGAATATCATACAGAAAGAAAGCATTAAAAAGATAGGAAAGCAACCAGGAGACATCAAGGCAAGTGGTTGGGTCCCCTCAGAGCAAACCCCCTTCCAAGACTAAGATTCAATGAGAATACATGCTCTGATTGGTGACTACGTTCACCAATAAGGGGAAGTGAGGGAAAAACAGCAATGAAGCTGCGAGCTAAGCCCTACAACATTCAATAGACTCCTGCGAATCCGGGTAGAGACATGGTTGGCTAGCAGTGTTGCAAGACCTGGGGACTCTTGGGCCCAAAGTCAGTGACATAGCCACAGAGGACTAGAGTGGAGAGTGAAGTGTCCAGCTGATAAGAAGAGAGGGCATATTCACAAGAACACAAACAAGTGCAGATAATACACACTTGACCTGGCTTCAATGACTGGATGATCAGAGCTCAACTAGAAGAAGAAAGAAGAGGGGAAAAAAAGAGTAATGTGATACAATTTGATGAACTTGACCAACACCTATGGATGCAGTAGCTCAAAAGAGGGCACAAATCTTTACAGCAAGGATCATTCCCACCCCCTCCATGCACAGAGTCGACAGGGATGGGCAACTTGGACACTGGCTACCCAAAATGGGGGGCTTCAAAGGCAAGAAGTGACTGGCTTACAAGCTTTCAAGAAGGAACCTAGATCCAGAGGGCGTGGAGGAAGGTAGAATCTCCACTGAGTAGTATCCAGTCTGTCTACGAGGGGCTGATGAAAGGAGATGTGGATAGGTCTCTTGTGATACAATAGTGAATAATTATTATCAGGATTGATTGTGAGGGTTGGAAATGTAAAGGTAGACGTTTTATAGCAAGGAGGGGAGTGATTAACTTTTCAGTCTAGGAGCGGAGGTCCCTGGGACCATCAAGGGAGAAGAGTGGAGAGTGGGATCCTACCCAGAGAAGCAGTGATGCCAGAGATGGAGGCAGAGACTATGACATGGAGAAATGGAGCAGTTGGGGACTTTAGATCCAGAGAGGGAGAGGGGCTGTGTGCTGACGTCCAGGGGGCAGGCTTGCAAAGTATACCCTTTGGTTGGTTGATGATGCATGGAGGGGATTGTAACCATGGCAATGAAACAATATACGTTAGGATGAGTGTAAAACTAATGTTCTCCCATGTAAACTATCATATAATTCAATTTACAATAAAACATTAAAAAAAAAAAAAAGATAGGAAAGTAGGAAAAGGCCAAAGTGGGTGTCAGAAGAGACTTTCTCTGAAACTTTCTCTGGAATATAGAAAACCTAAAGCAGCTGGAAGAAATGATGATGTAAAAGAGCCAAACAACATTTCAAAGGGCAGCTCCAGATGACACACTCAAGTATTATAATGAAATGTGCAAAGACCTGGAGTTAGAAAACTAAAAGGGAAGAACACACTCAGCATGTCTCAAACTAAAAGAACGGAAGAAAGAATTTAAGTCTCTCCTTGGAAAACTGAATGATTCTATGGACAAAATTATTCAATGGCACAGGAAGCATCAAATGAAGCTGGACGGAACACACAAAGCTACTTTAATAAAAAGAATTGGTCTATGTTCAACCATTTCAAGAGGTAACATATGATCAAGAACCAATGGTACTGAGGAAAGACGTCCAAGCTGTGCTGAAGGCATTGGCAAAAAAAACAAGGCTCCAGGAACTGATGGAAAACAAATTAAAATCTTTGAACAAAAGTGGAGGCACTCACTCGTCTGTGCCAATAAATCTGGAAGACAGCTACCTGGCCAACCAATTGGAAGACATCCATATTCTGTAGCCATTTTAAAGAAAAGTGACCAAAATGAGGTGAAAATCATCTAACTTTATAATTACTATCACATTCAAGTAAAATTTTACTGAAAAAAATCATTCAAAAATGGTTGCAGCATGCAGTGAAAGGAAGCGGCCAAAAATTCAAGAGGGATTCAGAAGATGACATGGAAGGAGGGATATCACTACTGACATCAAATGGATCTTAGCTGAAAGCAGAGAACACCAGAAAGATGTTTACTTGTGCTTTACTGACTATGCAAAAGGCATTCAACTGTGTGAATCGTAACAATCTATGGATAACATTGTAAAGAATGGGTATTTCAGAACAGTGAATTGTGCTCATGAGGAACCTGTACAAAGACCAAGAGGCAGCCATTCAAATAAAACAAGGGGATACAGAATGGTTTTAAATCAGGAGAGGTGTGCATCATACTTGTATCCTTTCACTATATTTGTGTAATCTGTACACTGAGGAAATAATCTGAGAGGGTGGAGTATCTTCGGAAGTGAAGAGGACTTGAAACACTTACTGATGAAGATTAAAAAATCTATAGCCTTCAGTATGAATTGCATCTCAATGTAAAGAAAACAGAGTTCCTTACAACTGGACCAGTAAATAACATCAAGATAAACAGAAAAGATTGAAGTTCTCAAAGACTTTATTTTGCTTGGATTCACAATCAATACTCATAGAAGCAGCAGTCAAGAAAACAACTTGTTGTGTTAGGCAAATCTGCTGCAAAATACCTCTCTCTTTAAAGTGTTAAATAGCAAAGATGTCAGTTTGAGGACTAAGGTGTGCCTGACGTAAACCAGGGTATTTTCAGTCTCCTCATAACACACGTGAAAGTTGGACAATGAGTAGGAACATGGAAGGAGAACTGATGCATTTGAATGATGACGCTGGTGAAGACTATTGAACTTACCATGGACTGCCATAAGAACTAACACCTCTGTCTTGGAGTACGGCCAGAATGCTCCTTAGAAGACAGGATTTAACTCTTATAGTTCGGTCATATTGTCAGGATGATCCAGTCCCTAGAAAGGGACATTGTGCTTGGTAAAGTGAAGTGTCAGCAAAAACAAAAGAGGAAGACCACCCCACAGTGAGATGGACTGATGAAGTGGCAGTAACAGTAGGCTCAAACAGAACAACAATTGTGAGGATGGTACAGGACTGGGCAGTGTTTCATTCCGTTGTACTAGGAATTGGAACTGACTCAAAAGCACCTAATAACAACAACAGATCCAACTATGGTGGGCCACAAGGACCTCGTTTGCTTAGTCCCAACCCAGTCGTTTAGTGGAAGTTATAAATAGTATAGCTAGAAAGGGCCATGTTCAATAATTCACTGCACTGCAAGGATTAGTGTTAAGTGCCATGGAGTAGGTTCTGACTCATAGTGACACTGTATAGGGTTTCTGAGGCTGTAAATCTTTATGGGAATAGAAAGTTTCATCTTTCTCCAGTGGAGGGGCTGGTAGGTTCAAACTGTCGACCTTGTGGTTAGTAGTCCAGTGCTTTTCCTACAGAACCACTGCTCTCCCCACTGCAAGGATGGAGGATGTCAAACAACCAAGAGTTCAGGTCACTGGGTCTTAATACTTATTCGGACTGAGATCTAACAAATCCATGCTTGGTACCAAAGACTTTATTTTGTTATTGTTAAGTACTGTAGAGTTGACTCCAGACTCAGAGCAACCTGTATAGGGTTTCTGAGGAGTGGCTGGTAGATTTGAACCACTCACTTTGCTTATCCTTTAGTCATACTAGAACTTTATTTGCATAACCTCATATAATCCCACAATAGTCCTATAAGTGAGACACTTGGTGTATTGGTTTTCTAGGACTCCTCTAACAAAATACCACAAGCTGGGTGGTTTATAAAAACAGAAATGTACTGTCTCATAGTTCTGGAGGCTGGGAGTCCAAATCAAGGTGTTAGGTTAGTTCTTTCTGAGGACTCTGAGAGATACTCTGTTCATACCTCTCTCCTGGCTTCTGGTGACCCCTGGCAACTCCTGGCATTCTTTGGCTTGCAGCTGTACCTGCCTCCAGTCATTGCATGGCTAGCTTCCTTCTGTCTCCCAATCCCCATACATCTCCGCTTTTAAAAAGAACAGGCATTTAGAATAACGTAACCTACTCCAGTATGACCACACGTTAACTTCACTGATAATAACATCCTTAAAGACCCGATTACCTAACAAGTTCACATTCACAGGTACTGGGGTTGTTGTTGTTAGGTGCCATCAAGTCAGTGCTGACTCACAGTGACCCCTATGCACAATGAAACAAAACAAAACGAAACACTGCACGGTCCTGCGTCAACCTCACAATCGTTGCTACATTGAGATCACTGCTGCTGCCGCCACTGTGCCAATCCATCTTGTTGGGGGGTCTTTCTCTTTTTCTCTGACCCTCCGCTTTACCAAACACTATATCCTTCTCCAGGGACTGACTGGTCCCTCCTGATAATATGTCCAACATATGAGAGACAAAGTCTGGCCATCCTGATTTCCAAGGAGCATTCTGGCTGTACTTCTTGCAACACAGATTGGTTTCTTCTTTTGGTAATCTATGGCAATTTTAATATTCTCCTCTAACAACATAACTCAAATGCATCAATTCTACCTATCAAGTCCTTAGTCACTGTCCAACTTTCAAATGCAAATACCATGGCTTGGTCCAGACACACTTTCGTCCTCAAACTGACATCTTTGCTCTTCAACACTTTAAAGAGGTCTTGTGCAGCAGATTTGCCTAATGCAATATGTCATTTGATTTCTTGACTGCTGCTTCCATGAGTGTTGATGGTTGATCCAAGAAAAATGAAGTCTTAGACAACTTCAATCTTTTTTCCATTTATCTTGATGTTATTTATTGGTCTAGTGGTGAGGATTTTTATTTACTTTACATTGAGGTGCAACCCATAAAGAAGGCTGTGGTCTTTGATCTCTATCAGTAAGTATTTTAAGTCCTCTTCACTTTCAGCAAGCAAGGTTGTATCATCTGCTTGGGGTTAGGATTTTTTTTTAAGTCCTAAGATTTTTTTTTTTTAATCCTAAGAGTGGGAGCCAATTTAATCCATAAAATGGGGTTAAAAATCCATAAAATGGGGTTAAATATAGCTGAGTAGATGAAGATGGTTTTAAAGTGGGACTCAGAGGATGAAGAGCACTTAGAAAGTTGGGTGGGAGTTACATTTCTTAGGGAGAAAGGAGTAATGATCAAGATTTTAAAGGTGCAAAGTAGGATTTCCAGCAAGATGGCAGACTAGCAGATGCACTACATGGACCCTCTACAACAGAGATATGAGAGACCAGATGAAACAGTCAATCTGTATAGGATTTCTGAGGCTGGAAATCTTTTCAGGAATAGAAAGCCTCATCTTTCTCTCATCACTAAGGAAGTACTGGGAGAAAAAGCAGAAATCATATTTGACTGAGTGCTCTGAATTCCAGCCTAGCAAGTTAAGGTGTAATCTTTAGTGTGAGGATGTTAATGGTGTTTGATTAAGGGAGTGGTTTGTTGAAAGACATATTCTAGGAAAATAAGTCTAATGACAATAAATCCCACATGGTGGGAGGAGCAGGGAGATACATTTGTAACCGTCACAGTAATATTTATGAGTTTGATAGAGATGCACTATGTCTCTTGAACATTTCATAAGCAATTTTTCCTCTACAGAGAAAGCCCTTTTTTCTACAATAATCTCTGTTGTTGTTGTTACTGACTCATAGTGACCCTGTAGAGGGTTTCTGAGGAGCAGCTGTTAAGACTGAACCACCAACCTTGTGGTTCAAACTGACCTTGTACTCGAGTGTTTATCCTACACTCCCACACCAGGATTCCACGATCACTCCTAGTAGGTAGAAGACCCAACACAGCGGGATGGTGGTTGCATGACCCCACATCTCAAAGGACTTAGAGTGCTTCTCATTTGACTTTTGCAGGGTGGAATTATGGGTATTGAGATCTACTGGGACTGCAATCTGGACAGATGGTTCCATCGCTGCCGACCAAAGTATAGTTTCCGTCGTCTTGATGACAAGACCACCAATGAGTCCCTGTATCCCGGTTACAACTTCAGGTAACTCAGCACTCCAGCTCAGAGTCTGGCCAGTGGCTACCTGTTCTTTGCCTGCAGGGACCTTCCTGTGTAGCTGAATTGCATCCCCGTCAGTCAGTAGGCTTAGTCTTTAGTTCCCAGGGCAACAGATGAATACGAAATACTTCCTCTTAGAGCTGGTCGGTGATAGAATTATTGTACAGATTTTTATTCTTTTTAATTATTGAAGAAACATACTCTCTATTAAAGAAAAAAATCCTTGGGAGACAAGAAAGCATTAAGAAGAGGATAAAAACTACCCACAATCATTCTGTCTTGATATAATCCATGCTAACCCTCTCATGGTGTGGTGCTGTAGGATAAGCACTGGACCACAAAGTTGGTTTGAACTGCAAGGCTGGTGGTTCACACCTACCTCAGAAACCCTACCATGAGTCAGAACTGACTCGATGACACTTAACGACAACAACAACCCTCTCATCAAGTTTCCTTCACCCCAGTTCTTTCATGGGGTTCATGTATAATTTTTGCATTGTTTCAGTTTTTTTCCAAATCCCAGGTCATTCACAATTCTTTGTAACTATCACACTATTATTATCTTATTCCATTGTGTGGTTATATTGCCAGCAATCGCTCCAATGTAGGGAGACTCTTCTAAGTTCCAGGTACTGTGCCAGACCTGACACCTTCATCTCTAGACCTTGTAACAGTGCTGTAAGGTAGCTGTTCATGTTCCTGGTTAAAGCTGACAGAGGTTAAATGATTCACCCAAGATCCACCATAGGAGTCAAAGCTCCATTCTTCCCGTTCAGTCACTGATTCCCAAACTCATACTCTTTTCCTTCTATCTCACGACATTCCCACTCATTCCCTTTTTATTAGAAATCTAAACTGGATCCAGGCTTTTATTATCAATTTCTTGCACACAAACCTTTGAAATCTAGGTACTTCCTTGGGATAAATTTCAAGAGGTGGAATTATTGGATCAAAGAATTTGAGCAAACATTTTACCTCACACTTTCAGTTTTTTCTTAATTTCTATGGCTGTGTTTTTCATTTCTACAATTTATATTTGTTTTTGTTTACAAGGCACATGATTGTTTCAGTGGCTCCTTTACACCTGAAGGATCCTACTCCTTTTATTCGTCCTTACCTTTTATACCGTAACTTGGGTGCAATGTCTCCTTGTGTGCTTTGAAGTATTTATTGGTGGGGTTGTTTTCTGCAGAACTGAGACTATATGAAGCTCGGTGTATGCTATTGGAGATGGATGCTTTCCTGTGGGGATGATGATGGGATTGTGTGCTTGTTCCTGCTGGGACTGTATGAAGTATATCAATTAGGAGCCAGGGTGTAGTTTCATTTCTTGACTCTGGATTTCTTCACTATGGTTAAAATATCCAATTGTTTCTGTTCTCTTGTTATGAAGAGGTTTAGCTACCCCTAATGTTCTTATCTATAAGTTCATTAAAAATTGTAGCGCTTTTTTTGTTTTTAAATGTTTTATTGTGAATTATGTGATAGTTTACATGGGAGAACATTAGCTTTACATCCATCCTATCGTATATCGTTTCACTGCCATGGTTACAATCCCCTCCATGCATCATCAACCAACCAAACTGTGGAGAGCCATTTTCACTTCCGCTGTTTGACACAGTCCCGGTGGGAGGAGAAACATCATGCAAAGCAGATGATTCTCAGGAGCTGGCCTCTATCTCCCCTTTAGGATAACTCTGAATTTACTTGTAAAAATATATAATATTGCCATATTCACAGCTTTTGCTATAAGCTCTGCAGACCTTAGGAAGAAACCGGTCTGGCAACAATTGTTTCAGCTTCAGTGGACTGAATTCAAAGGGAATTGTATGAGCTACTCCCATTCACAGAAAACCTAAATACAAAGTAACTGCATTTATGAGATCACAAAAGCAGATAACAAACTAAAGTAAAATTGACCGACCCCTATAGACCTCACCACAATCAGTTACCAGCCAGAATCCACAAACCCCCACTATTACATACAGGCACCTACGTAAATAGGCAGAGAATAGTGAACATAAGTGAAAGGTGGTCTAAACGTAATAATCTACATTTCCTGCAGCAGTTAGCCAGGTTGGGCCTTATACCTCACAGCTTCAAAAGAAAGAAATATAGGAACACTGTGGTTAAGTAATTTAATGAATACTTTAGAAAAACAAAATAATTAAGTAGATGTTAGTAATACTTTTACTATGAAAAATAGTAGTACATTATGTAGGATAGAAGATTGAAAATTAGTAGAAACAATAAAGTAGTGTAGGCATTGATGACTAATAGAAACTTATATTACTAAGAAGATGTAATCAGGGGTCTGATAAGTGGAAATGATTTCTGTAAGGTTTAACTTGATCTTTTAGTGGAAATAAGAAGAAACAATTTATCACTTACGTAGGAGAGGAGATGATGTCAAAAGGAAAATGTTCAATAGTTGAAAAATGAATGGGATATGGAAAGGTCAGTCTGGACATCACAGAAATACTTTTGTTAAGGTTGTATAATCACAGGGTGAAGGAATGTTGTGATTAAAACTGTGTAATATGAAAGGACGAGCAGACCAACCTGGAACAACTCAAAGAATAGAAGAAACTTCTTGAAAGAAAGACCTACAAGAAAAATACAAAACAACAGAGGCAGACGGACTGTTACTACAAGAACAAACAAGTTGCTTGCTCAGGAAACATCAAGGCAAGTGATCGGATCCCCTTAGTGTAAGCCTCCTTCCAGGACTAAGACTCAATGGGAATACATGCTCTGATTGGTGACCACGCTCGTCACCGATAAGGAGAAGTGAGGGAAAAACAACAATAAAGTGGTGAGCTAAGGCCTACAATATGGAGAGTAAAACGTTCAGCTGATAAAAAAAGAGGGCATATGCACAAGAACACCCACACTTGCAGATAATACCCACTTGACCTGGCTTCAATGACTGGATGATCAGAGCTCAACCAGAAGAAGAAGAGGAGAAAAAGAGTAATCTGATGCAATTTGATGAACTTGACCTGCACCTATGGAAGCAGTAGGTCAAAAGAGGGAACAAATTCTTACAGCAAGAATCATTCCTACCCCCTCTACACACAGAGTTGACAGGGATGGGCAACTTGGACATTGGCTACACAAAATGGGGGGGTAGGGCTACAAAGGCAAGAAGTGACTGGCTTACAAGCTTTCAAGAGGGAACCTAGAGACAGGGGGCCTGGAGGAAGGCAGAATCTCCAGTGAGTAGCATCCAATCTGCCTAGGTGGAGTTGATGAAATGAAATGCATATGGGTCTCTTGTGATACAATAGCAAATAATTGTCATCAGGACTGATGGTGAAGGTTGGAAATGTAAAGGTAGACATTTTATAGCAAGGAAGGAAGTGATTAACTTTTCAGTCTAGGAGCAGAGGTCCCTAGGACCATCAATGGAGAAGAGCCAAGAGCAGGACCCTACCCAGAGAAACAGTGATGCCTGAGATGGAGGCAGAGACAATGACGTGGAGCAATGGAGCAGCTGGGGCTGGGGGCTTTAGATCCAGAGAGGGAGAGCGACTGTGTGCTGAAGACTGGGGGGTGGGGAGGTGGGATAGTGTAGGAGGCAGGCTTGCAGAGTATACCCTTTGGTTGGTTGATGATGCATGGAGGGGATTGTAACCATGACAATGATATAATGTACGATAGAATGAATGTAAAACTAATGTTCTCCCGTGTAAACTATCATATAATTAACAATAAAACACTAAAAAAAAAAAAAAATGTGTAATAATTCAAAGGAAAATCAAAGTATCAAATCATTATGTACTGTGTAATTTTAAGTATAAAAATAAAGACTTGCTGAGCCGGGGCAGAGAAGAAAAGAGAGCGCACTCCATCAGCCAACTAAGTGGAGACTCCCCGGTTGCTTTCACTTTCGCCGATTCTGCGTCTCCTCTCGTGTCCCGCGACCCTGTGAGAGCTGGACTCCCACAACAAATGATATACCCTGCAAGCCTACCCCCCTTCTTCCCCCTGGTCATCAGCACACAGCCCCTCTCCCTCTCTGAGTCTAAAGTCCCCATCTGCTCCATTTCTCCACGTCATCGTCTCTGCCTCCATCTCTGGCATCACTGCTTCTCTGGGTAGGGTCCTGCTCCCCACTCTTCTCCCTTGATGGCCCCAAGGACCTCCACTCCTACATTACAAAGTCAATCACTCTCCTCTTTGCTACAAAATGTCTACCTTTACATTTCTAACCCTCACAATCAGTCCGGATAACAATTATTCACTATTGTATCACAAGAGACCTATCCACATCTCTTTTCACCAGCCCTGCCTAGACAGATTGGATACTACTCAGTGGAGAGTCTACCTTCCTTCACATCCTCTGGATCTAGGCTCCCTCTTGAAAGCTTGCAAGCCTGTTACTTATTGCCTTTGTAGCTCCCCCCCCCCCCGGCTTTTTTTGGGTAGCCAATGTCCAAAGTACCCATCCCTGTCTACTCTGTGTATTGAGGGGGTGGGAATGATCCTTGCTATAAATATTTGTTCCCTCTTTTGAGCTATGTGTAGGTCATGTTCATCAAATTGTATCAGATTACTCTTTTTTACCTCTTCTTTCTTCTTCTAGTTGAGCTCTGATCATCCAGTCATTGAAGCCAGGTCAGGTGGGTATTATCTGTAAACATGGGTGTTCTTATGCATATGCCCTTTCTTCTTATCAGCTGGACACTTCACTCTCCACTCTAGTCCTCTGTGGCTATGTCACTGACTCTGGGTCCAAGAGTCCTTTGGTCTTGTAACACTGCTGGCCAACCAGGTCTCCACGCGGGTTCACAGGAGTCTATTGAATGTTCTAGGGTTTAGTTTAGCTCACAGCTTCATTGCTGTTTTTCCCTCATTTCTCCTTATCGGTGACAAACGTGGTCACCAATCCGAGCGTGTATTCCCATTGAGTCTTAGTCTTGGAATGGGGTTTGCCCTGAGGGGATCTGACCACTTGGCTTGATGTCTCTTGGGTGAACAAC